AGCTATTGATGGCATTTGGACCTCAGAAAAGGGGGATCAACAAATACCTAAAAATGAATCAATCAGCCTTTTTTCCTAAGTTTCTGTTGACCCTTCCCTGGCTTACTGTCTGCTCTGAAAGTAAACAAGGAGAAGGGATCAATCACGGGCCCATGCAAATATGAACCGTTTCAGGGAGGACAAAGGATTTCCTCCCTGTTACAGTAATCCTTGGGTCACATTCTTTTTGGGGCAAAGGGTCAGAGAGGAGAAGCAGGGAGGGGGACCAGAGTACATTTCATACAATATTCCATTACATAGATTTCATATATCTTACATTTCATGAGACAATCCCACCCCCCATCCCCAGCAAAAGTTTATTAAAAAAAAGAAATATCATTTTATTAATGAAAGAAATTCATGGTTTCCTGGTGGAGGCACACGGAAGCGGAGGCTGCTTGCGAATCGGAGCAAGCCTGATCAGAAGGTTTGGGTCCAAAAATGTGGCAGAAAACAGTCCGGGAGGTGGAGCAGAAAGTCAATAGGAGAGGGCAAACAAGAGAGTCCAAGGAAGGTTTCCGGGTTGTGATTTGTGGAGCAATGTCCTTTGGGAAACTACATTTCCCTGATCAGGGGCCGGGGCCCATGCCTGGCCGCCTTCCCGGGACTCCTGCGGGTGGCCGCAGTGGGTCCCTGGCTGTTGGATCCAAGCGGGAGTGAGCGCTGCCAAGAAGAAGCGGAAAGCCTGGCCAGTTTGACAATCAGCTGTTTCTCTGCAAGATAAAATACTTAAAACAAAACTAATTTTTCCCCGGGTGAAGGGGCCCAAAACGAGAAAAGGGAGACAGCGGTTAGTCTTAAAATTAGTTGTAGAAAAATATAAAATTGGAACGGCGGCGATCCGCCATTTTAAGTATTTTCGTGGATAAGGGGGTCTGAAATGGCGGTTTCCGTATCCGCGGTCTAGGCGAACGCAGATTCGGGGTCCGGGGGGCGCCCGGAGGCGCCTCCCGCGGGCTCACGGCTCTCCGGAGCCCAAAAAAAGGTCTATTGCAATGTTATTTTGTTTGAGTCAAGAAAGGATACAAAAGTAGCATGCGGAAAGATAAAAAGTTGCAAGTTTCAAGTACTTTTATTAGGGAAAGGATACAAAGTAAAGGGAAGGGGAAAGCAAGGTGAAACTACAAGCATTCCTGGTTTTGAGCTGGCTGCTGGGGCACATTTCATCCGTTGGTCCCAAAAGCTTGGTCCAGGAACTGCAGAACTCTCCGCTGCAGTTCACACCAATGTGAAGGCGGGGCTCCCCGCTGCGCTCGGGCTCACTTCCACAGGGACCTGAAGACCTGGTGGTTCCAGCAGGCCTTTGAAAATGATTAGCCCTGGCCATCAGTTAGGACCCAACTCTGCACTTTATCCACTTCCCCAGTCCCATGCTACCTCATGGTACTAGCCCTGGCCCAGACCTCCTATAGCTGTACAGAAGACCTTGGAAAGAGTAGCCCCAGGCCCTATCCTGGCAAACAGTTATTTATTTCTTTATTTCAAATATTTGTACCCCGCCCTTCTCTACCCCCGAAGGGGGACTCAGTGCGGCTTACAGCTGGCAACAGTTCGATGTCTCCCGTATACACACATGTGGTGAAGTGTAAATTTTTAATTTGCAGTTATGTATAATTCTGTTGTTGTTCATTCGTTCAGTCGTCTCTGACTCTTCGTGACCTCATGGACCACCAGCCCATGCCAGAGCTCCCTGTCGGCCGTCACCACCCCCAGCTCCTTCAAGGTCAGTCCAGTCACTTCAAGGATGCCATCCATCCATCTTGCCCTTGGTCAGCCCCTCTTCCTTTTTCCTTCTACTTTCCCCAGCATAATTGTCTTCTCTAGGCTTTGCTGTCTCCTCATGATGTGGCCAAAGTACTTCAACTTTGTCTCTAGTATCCTTCCCTCCAGTGAGCAGTCGGGCTTTATTTCCTGGAGGATGGACTGGTTGGATCTTCGCGCAGTCCAAGGCACTCTCAGAACTTTCCTCCAACACCACAGCTCAAAAGCATCAATCTTCCTTCGCTCAGCCTTCCCTAAGGTCCAGCTCTCACAGCCGTACAGGGAATACCATGGCTTTGACTATGCGGATCTTTGTTGCCAGTGTGATGTCTCTACTCTTTACTATTTTATCGAGACTGGACATTGCTCTCCTCCCAAGAAGTAAGCGTCTTCTGATTTCCTGTCCACAGTCTGCATCTGCAGTAATCTTTGCCCTAGAAATACAAAGTCTGTCATTTCCTCCACGGTATAATTATAGATAGATGTTTTAAAGGGTAAGTATTTAAAGTTGCATAACTAAGGGGGATGGTAGCCAGCTCAGCTCATGTTGAGCTGGGTTACCATGGAAACAGGGGCGGAGCCAACTGCCACTTGGCAGGGCAGCCATTTTAAAACAGTTAGTCTGTAGTCAGCGAACTACAGGAGTGGCTGGTTCTGTTGTGTAGTGAGAACCAGGGAAGTAATCTGTAGTTTAAAATTACAGGAAAAGGCTGATTCTATAGTAGTAAGAATTAGGAAGGTTTTGGCTTTTAGCCTGAGTAGTTGACTTATTTATATTAACAGTTAGTGTATAAGAGAAAGGGTGAGAGAAACCCAGTGAGGATCTCTATTGCAACAGAAACATCACAAAGAAAGAATAAGCTTGTAACTGAAGTAATCTATTAAGGAAAGAAACACAGTTTGAAGAAAAATAAGTTTGAAACCTGTTTAGTGGAAGGAAGAGTCCTTTCCAGAGTTGTTTAAGAAAGTTATAAATGTAACCTATGAAGATATGTGCCTCTAAGAGTAAGAAACATTGAAACCATCACGCTCCTTCTACATTTCAATAAACTTTGTTACTATTTTTCTTTAAAGCCCGGTCTCTGTTACAATTCCTTTCCAAGTTAAGTCACGCTACACATTAAAGAAAGACCAAGTCAATATCACTAGCTATTAGCTACGCTATCAAGTTAATAAACCCTTACAAAGTGGTGGCTCCTTAACAAACTCTTTACAAATTAGGGGCCTCGTCACAAATTGGTGAAATCATTACAACACAGATAAAACAACAACTACAAAATAGATAAAACATTAATATAAATTAAAACCATTTAAAATAGTGCAAATTCAATGAGCTGACCAAATCTAAATCTGAGTTCTACAATCAACAACTTGGACCCTGCTCAACCCATTACTCAAAGTAAGCATTTGCAGTATAGTTGATTTTGCCCAGGGGTGCTCTTGGGGGAAAATAGACCTTGACATATGCGAGTTATAGTTACTTCACTTCACTTCACTTTATTTCTTAATTAGTCGCTCTCCACCAAGGTGCTCCAAGCGACTTACAGTGAAATAGCATTTACACAATATAAAAACATTCAACATAAAAACATTCAACAGTGACTATTTGGCAAATTAGATCTGATTACTTAAATGCACAACCAAACAGCCAAGTCTTGAGTGCCTTTACAAAAGGTCGCAACTCCGACATTGCTCTAATGTATGGAGGCAATGAGTTCCACAGAATTGGAGCATAGGTCGAAAAAGCTCTACGCCTTGTAGCTTCCAAGTGTACCTCCCTAGGGCCCGGTATATATAGGAGATGTTCCTGGGTGGATCGAGGTGACCACTGATGGAGAAAAGGAATGAGTTACTGGGATGTATAGTTCACCTACAATCAGAGCTTACCGAACTCCACCAATGATGGAATTGAACCAAATATGGCACACAGAACTCCCACGACGAACAGAAAATATATATCAGTGATTGGTTGGGGGGGGGGGGCACCAAAATACTGTTTGCTTACCATTGAAAATTACCTAGGGCTGCCTCTGACCCTGCTCTGCACTTTACCCACTTCCCTGGTCTCAAGCTACCTTGTGGTACTAGCCCTGGCCCAGCCCTCCTATAGCTGAACAGCAGGCCTTGAAAATGAGTAGCCCCAGGCCCTACCTTGGCCAGCAGTTAGGACCCTGCTTTGCACTTTACCCACTCCCCAGGCCCTATGTTACTTCATTGCACTAGCTCTGGCTCAGCCCTCTCAAACTTGTCTAGGCCCACTCTGAAATTCTGGCCATTTGTAGTTAAAATTTTGCCCAATGGAATAGTATTGGAACTGGCTTTTAAATGCATATGACTGTTTTAATAGTATTATGTTTATGTTTTATAATTATTATTCTGTATGATTTTGTGTTGGCAATTGAATGTTTTGCCTGTTGGAAACCTCCCTGAGTCCCCTCGGGGAGATAGAGTGATATACAAATTAATGTTTTAAAAATTTATTATTTACCTAACATTGTTAATTCTAAAATAACAACAAGGCTCATGTTTTCCAGTTTAATGTGGATTAAAAGTGTGTGTGCCAAAAGGGAAACAGACAGTAAATGCTACCCAGAGATACGATTTGCACATCAAGAGAATAATACTCTAAGCATCTTTTCCTTTGGTTGTGCCTCAACAGAAGCACTGTGTTCAATTCAGGAATCCCAGCTGACAAATAACATTCACAAACTGGAAATTTGCCACCAAAGTGGAAAAGGAGCTGGGAACTAAGCCCAAGAGGAACAACTGATGGAATTACATCTGGTTTATTTTTGAAATAACTGACAAGACAATAGTATTTAACCCTCTGAAGGACTGTCACAAGGAGCTTGCTTTCAGCTGCTCCAGAGAAGAGGACCTCAGCTTAGGAATTTAAATAGCAAGAAAGGGGAATCTACCAAATCTTAGCCAGAACTTCTCAAACAGTCCTGTTTTAAATCACATGATATGGGGGTCCAGAGAAGCAGAAGAGTTTTCTAAAACAGTTCCAAGTCAAACAAAGCAAAAAACCCAGAGTTCAAAACTAAGAAGAGAATTGCCGAAGAAATTAGTCCAAAGTCAAGCCAAGTGTTACGGGAAGCCAAGGGAATAACACATGTTCATCAGGAAATGTTGAATGTATATTTTACAGTGCCAACATGTGCTGCAATTTCCCTGTTGCAACTCATTACTTGCAGCTCTCTTTGGATTATGTCTCTCCTGTATGTAGTCTGTGATAGTTCAAAAGGTACGAACCCCAAACAAAATATTTCCCACATGACTGCCATTTGTATATTTTAGCCTGTGTATTTTCTCTGGTGCTTGTTAAGGGATGAAGGCTGAGGAAAATATTTCCCACAATCTGTGCATCTGTATGGTTTTTCTCCTGTGCAAACTCTCTAGTGGTTCCTTAGATATGAACTCTGAACAAAACATTTCCCACATTCCTAGAATATGTATGGATTCTCTCCTGTGTGGAGGTGTTTGTGCTTCACCAAGTCTGAACTGCGAGCAAAACATTTCCCACACTCTTGGCATTGGTAGGGCTTCTCTCCTGTGTGGATTCTTCTGTGCCTCACCAAGTCTGAACTGCAAGCAAAACATTTCCCACACTCCTGGCATTGGTATGGTTTCTCTCCTGTGTGGAGTCTTTTGTGCCTCACCAAGGCTGAACCATCAGCAAAACACTTCCCACACTCCTGRCATTGATATGGCTTCTCTCCTGTGTGGAGTCTTTTGTGGCCCACCAGGGCTGATGCATCAGCAAAACATTTCCCACACTCCTGGCATTGGAATGGCTTCTCTCCTGTGTGGAGTCTTTTGTGGCTCACCAAGTGTGAACTGGAAGCAAAACATTTCCCACATACCAGGCATTGGTATGGCTTCTCTCCTGTGTGGAGTCTCTTGTGCCTCACCAAGTTTGAACTACAAGCAAAACATTTCCCACACTCCTGACATTGGTATGGATTCTCTCCTGTGTGGATTCTTTTGTGCCTCACTAAAACTGAACTGTAAGCAAAACATTTCCCACACTCCTGGCATTGGTATGGCTTTTCTCCTGTGTGGAGTCTCTTGTGCCTCACCAAGTCTGAATTGTCACCAAAACATTTCCCACACTCCTGGCACTGGTATGGCTTTTCTCCTGTGTGGAGTCTTTGGTGCCTCACCAAGTCTGAAATGTAAGCAAAACATTTCCCACAGTCCTGACATTGGCATGTCTTCTCTCCTGTGTAGGATCTCCAGTGATCTATAAGGTGTGTATTCTGAGTTAAAAATTCCCCATACTCCTGGAATCTGTATGGTTCCTGTCTTGTGTAAAAGCTCTCATGTTTCACCAAGTGTGAATTGTGGATGAAAGATTTCCCAAACCCCTGGCTTATAAAATCTTCAGTTCCTTCAAATATTTCTTCTTGGTTCAGATGTGGAAATTTGTAATCAGCAACACAGTTTGCAGATTCTTTCCATTTAAGATGGTTTTCCCCAGCATGGAGTGTCATGTGAAGCACAAGTGCCATATTTTGAGTGAAACACTGTCCACATACATTGCATTCGTAGAGCATTTCTCTGGTAGAATCTCCATCTTCTCTGTGGGTTTGCTGGTATCTAGGAAAGCCGCTATTGTGTCCCAAGTGCTTCTCCTGTTTGCTGAATACATTGCTATTCTTCCAGTTATCTGCTGTGAAGAAGAACAGAAATAATCATTCCTCAGCGTGAGTTATAAGAAGTCTAAGAAAGTGGGATAAGAAATTCATTCATTTATTTATTTACTGTATTTTTATCCCACTTTATCTCAACCCTGAGAGAGGCTTCCAATTTGGCAAAAATTCAATGTCACATTGAATCATAGAATCATAGAATCAAAGAGTTGGAAGAGACCTCATGGGCCATCCAGTCCAACCCCATTCTGCCAAGAAGCAGGAATATTGAAACATAACAACAAACCCAATATAAAATATATTGTGGATTAAAATAAAAAACAGTAACATATAAATACATTTCAAATAAACAGTTAAAAACATTGCACATAGTCGCAACTTCATAGTCCAAAAGTCATTCCAATAACATTGCATTAACCTTGTACCTGCATATTGCATTGTAACTACTCTCCAAACACTTGGTTTCATAGCCATGTTTAACTTTCTTTCTGAAGGACATTTTTCCAAATGTACAAAAACTGTGTAGTGTGACAGATCTGGAGTGATTACTCTTGATGGGTTTTCCAAGGGGCCCTGTTGCTGCGAGGGAGTGTGGTACCCTTGGACTTGACTGCAGTTATGGAAGTCTTCCCACTGGAGTCCGAATTGGTGGCAACACCACTGTGATTCAGGCACCAAGTCAATGTTACACTTATGTCATATATTTATAACATAAGCCTTGCCTTGAGAACTCTCAGAGATTGTGAAGATTTGGGATCCTGCTCCTACTAGGGATCTGCTGGCTGGGATACTGCATTTTGAAATAGAAATCCCCATCAGTGAGGGAGCCTTACCAAGAGAGTCCACCATCCCACGAATTTCCTCCATGGTCTGCACATGCAAGGCTATCTCATCAGGATTCAGGAGAGCCCACTCTTCCAGGGAGAAATGGACAGCCACCTCCTCAAAGGCGATTGGGCTCTGGTGGAAAAAGAACATATTTCCCTCTCACAGAAGGGCTACTAAGAAAAATAATTACAAGAAAACCTTTAAAGTAGATTTACATTCCTGTTGGCTGTTTGAAAGGGAAAGGGCTAAGGCCTCCGTGCCATAGATTAAGTTTTATACAGACGTCACAGTCACAACCATTTCTTAATTAGTATGTAGAATAAGAAATATAATCTGGAAATATTATATTTTATTGTAATATTATATTGTTTATTGTAATGCTATTTTGCTATTGTATTTTTTTTTTCTTTTCCATGTAATTTTGATGTGTTGCTGGTTGTTTATGTTTTGATTTTATTTTGATGTAATATGTTGTTCGGGCTTGGCCCCATGTAAGCCGCTCTGAGTTCCCATCGGGGAGATGGTGGCGGGGTATAAATAAAGTTTATTATATTATTATTATTCCAGCTTTCATTGTGATACCCAGAACTGAACAGAGTCAAGTTTTCAACCAGCTCTCTAACATGTTAAGGCCATTTTGAATTCTGATCCTGTTTTTTGGAGTATTTGCTATTTCTCCTAATTTGGTGTCATCTGCAAATATGATAAGCTTGCCCTGTAAACCTTCATCCAGGTTAATAAGAAAGGTGTGGAACAGCTTTTAGCCCACAACAGAACCCTGTGGCACCCCACTAGTCCCTACTTTCCAGAATGAAGAGGAACCACTGGCGAGTAATTTTTGTCCATTCTTGAAGATAGCGACAACCTTTGCCTCATCCAGTCTGCTGGGATTTCTCCTGTTCTCCAGGAGTCCTCAAAGATTATTGCCAATGGCTCTGAAATTTCTTCTGCAAGTTCCTTCAGGACTCTTGGATGTATTTCCTGTGACCCTGGAGACTTGAATTCATTTAGAGTGGCCAGGTATTCCTGGCTGACTTCTTTACCTATTTTGGGTTGCATTTCCCCTATTACCCCATATGCTCCATCTTGCTCAAGTACAATACTGATTCCCTTTTGGGAGAAGACTGAGGCAATGTTCTCCCTTTTCCCCACCCCCTGGTAGCATTTCACCACCTTCTCCAGGCACAGACCCTAATCTTGGCTCATTTTTCCTTTTTCTATTGACACAACCAAAGAACACCCTTTTAATTGTTTTTCATCTCTCTGGGAAGCCTGAGCTCATTTTCTGCTTTAGCTTGTCAGACCTTTTCCCTAATCATGCTAGTTACTCATCTGAATTCTTTTTTTTTTCATAATTTCCCCCATTTTCCTTTTTTGTACATGTCCCTTTTAAATCTTAGCTCAGTTGAACATTCTTTGGACATTCTGGTTTGTTTAGACTTCTCTTAATTCTCCCCTCACCCCTTTTGTTGGCATGGTTTGTAATTGTGCCTTCAGTACCTAACTTTTAGGAAACTCCTATTCAATCTTTTCTCTTTCAAGAGATGTTTGATAATTGAGCCTGTAACAAATGACCCCCAGGCAGCCCCATTCCTCCTCTCCCAGGACTCCTTCTGCTTACCTGATTCAGTTCCACTCCGTCACAAAGGGGAAAAAACAACAGAGGATTCGGCATCAACATCATTCCAGCCCCTGGGAGAGAGAGAGAGCAAGGGATGAAAAACTGATCACATAAACATTTCCAGAGTTTACAATTACAATCCTGAAAAGAAACCTATGAGAAAATGACCCTATGAACACTGAAGCATTCTCCAGCCCTGGAATATGTAACATTTTAGAGTTTAGGACTTTTTTTTATCTCATTCAGCGCTGTGAATAGATTGGATTGAAACTAGCAATGGGCTTGATATTTCAAGTGACTAAAGTTATTCTTTGTTGTCTGTTTGTCTCCCAGCTCAGTTTCAGGGCTCATCTTAGCTTCGTGTCCTACCTGAGAAGATACCGAAGGGCTATTTCAGACCCACCCAACAGAATGCAAATGAAATTACACCTTTTGCAACCGAATGCCTACCTATAAACTTATCTCAGGGCCGAATGCACACCTTCTCAAGTTAAAACTGAATCCCTGTACTAAAATCCCCAGGAGAATTTTCACTGGCATAAAACACCAAAACTCCCAGAAGGGTTCGTTCTTACCCTCCAAGGCTGCAAACCCATCTCCTTCCTGCTTGAATTCCTCCTGTAGGAGACTCTGGGTGGGGCCTCCTTGAGACTTCTCTGATTCAGAGACATCAGGCGGGACTTCAATGCAGAGTGGTAAATTCTAGAATAGCATAGAATATACCAGAAGTAGTATGGAGAAAGGTTAGAAAAGCATTCTAGATGTAGAAAAACTGTATTCTGAGATTGGCTATATTCTCCCATATTTTCCCTTCAATGTGATATCTGGGGACAACAAATTTGAGCAGAGCAGCAACTGAGCTTATAGTGGATATGGAGGTGAGAGCAGGAGGGAAGAGCAGGGGAGGAAAGAGACAGAGAGAGCAAGGTCTGATTTATCTCTGTCACAGGTCCCATCTTGGAAGAAAGGCAGGGTGTACGTTTAACCTATCCATCAGTCCCAAGGTGAGTGAACCCAAGAGAGGCAATGCTCTCACCTGTCCTTCCTGCTTCTCGTCTTCTTCCCGACTCAGGAGGAAGCCTTCCGCCAGGGCCACCGCCTGGGAAGAGGTCTCTGCCCCACACTCTCGGACCCAGCTCCCCATCTCTGGGGGCAGGATGCTCAGGAACTGCTCCAGGATCACCAGGTCCAGCATCTCCGCCTTGGTGTGTTGCTCTGGCTTCAGCCACTGGCGGCAGAGAGAGTGGAGGCGGCTGCAAACCACTCTGGGTCCCTCGCCCTCTCGGAAGGAGGAATGCCTGAAGCGCTGGCGCTGTGTGTCTGCATACAGGAACGTCTGCGTAGTTCTTTCCCAGGATTTCCCACTGCTCCTGGGGGCCCTGCCTGTTTTGGTATCAGGTAAGTTGGGTCTCTCCATGTTGGAACCACTGTTTGGTGAAGAACCAAACTGTATCCAAGATGCTTGTCTTCCCTTTTCTTTCAAGGGAAAGAAATCCCTCAATGGGCTCTGGCGCTGTAGGCCTGATCTATAAAAGTCCACATTCTGGAACTTATGCATAGTTCTTTCCCAGGATTCCCCACTGCTCCAAAGTCCAGCTTCAGGTCCAGGTGAGTTGGGTCTCTCCATGTTGGAACCACTCTTTGATGAAGAACCGAACCGTATCCAAGATGCTTTTCTTCCCTCTTCTCTCAACTGAACAGGTTCTACTCCCAAATTCACAACCAACAATCAAATCCCCTGTGTGAAAGAAAGTAAGCATTAAACAATGAATTTTGGGAGGATTTTTTGAGAGAGTAAAAACAAGCCCTTTATTTATTGGGTTGCTGTAAGTTTTAGAACGATTCCATCAGCGTTGCCTCTGAAAAACCCTGCAAATCTCTTGGGAAGACAAGCAGACAAATGTTAGTGTGCTGGAAGAAGCAAAGACCACCAGCACTGAAGCGATGGTCCTCCACCATCAACTCCGCAGGACCGGCCACATTGTCCGGATGCCCGACCACCGTCTCCCAAAGCAGTTGCTCTACTCTGAACTCAAGAACGGAAAAGGGAATGAGATTTAAAGATGGAAAAGAGATTTAAAGATGGGCTCAAAGCCAACCTTAAAAACTCTGGCATAGACACTGTGAACTGGGCCAGGGCTCTCACTGGAGGTCAGCTGTGACCAGCAGTGCTGTAGAATTTGAAGAGGCACGAATGGAGGGTGAAAGAGAGAAAGGTGCCAAGAAGGCGCGTCAAGCCAATCCCACCTGGAAGCCAATGCCCTCACTGTGGGAGAACATGCAGGTCAAGAATAGGGCTCCACAGTCACCTACGGACCCACCGCCAGGACACTGATCTTGGAAGACAATCCTACTCGGACAACGAGGGATAGCCTAAGTAAGTAAGTAGTAAGTGCTGTAAGTTTTTCAGGCTATATGGCCATGTCCAGAAGCATTCTTTCTGGATGTACCATGCATCTATGGCAGGCATCCTACATTGGGAGGTCTCAGACCTCACAACCTCTGAGGATGCCTGCCATAGATGCAGGTGAAACGTCAGGAGAGAATGCTTCTGGAACATGGCCATACAGCCCGAAAAACTTACAGCAACCCTTCGACAATACCCTTATTTGTTTATTTCAGAGCCAGATAATGCTGGGCCCTCCCTCCTGTCATTCAGGCCTCTGCTTCTCCAGCCTCCAGGCCCACCTGGCCTCCCATTGAGCTCCCATTGAGCTCCCATTGAGTCCCAACCTAGACTATCCCCATGAGGTTGGCCCAGCCCTACTCCCAATCTCTCTTGAATGGATGGGTCTCTAATCCAGGAGCCTCCTCTGGGTTGAATAGCTGCAGGACCAGTCCTATGGGGAGGGACTGAGATCAGGTTCACCTGGAGGAGGAGGAGGAGGAGGAGGAAACCCGGAAGTGGCCCTTTCCTCTCTGCGACTGCCCCTGCTGCCCTCCTGCGCATGCGCCAGTGATTGTCTGAACAGAGGCCACTTCCTATCACGTGACTAGGAGGAGGGAGGGAAGGAGAGAGAGAGAAGAGGGAGAGAGATAGAGAGGCACCAGCTTGGGAAGCAAAGCCATGAGTGGGAAACTAGTTTGGGGGGGGGGGGGGTATTAATTGCAAAAATTGCACAAAGTAAAACAATATAAGATAAAAAAGTCAAAAGACTGGAGATCTCTTATGGGAAAGTCTTAATTGTTCATGGCTATATGATGGTTTGATGCATCACTCCACTAAAGTGGTGTACTATAGAATCATAGAATTAAAGAGTTGGAAGAGACCTCATGGGCCATCCAGTCCAACCCCCTGCCAAGAAGCAGGAATATTGCATTCAAATCACCCCTGACAGATGGCCATCCAGCCTCTGTTTAAAAGCTTCCAAAGAAGGAGCCTCCACCACACTCCGGGGCAGAGAGTTCCACTGCTGAACGGCTCTCACAGTCAGGAAGTTCTTCCTCGTGTTCAGATGGAATCTCCTCTCTTGTAGATTGAAGCCATTGTTCCGCGTCCTAGTCTCCAGGGAAGCAGAAAACAAGCTTGCTCCCTCCTCCCTGTGGCTTCCTCTCACATATTTATACATGGCTATCATATCTCCTCTCAACCTTCTCTTCTCCAGGCTAAACATACCCAGCCCTTTAAGATACTCCTCATAGGGTATGGCCTCCAGACCTTTGATCATTTTAGTCGCCCTCCTCTGGACACATTCCAGCTTGTCAATATCTCTCTTGAACTATGGTGCCCAGAATTGGACACAATATTCCAGGTGTGGTCTAACTATATACTATAGTATATAGTAATATAGTAACAAGAATGATTGACAACTGGGAAATAGAGGGAGAAAATGTGGAGGCCGTGACAGACTTTGTATTTCTAGGCGCAAAGATCACTGCAGATGCAGACTGTAGCCAGGAAATCAGAAGACGCTTACTTCTTGGGAGGAGAGCAGTGACCAATCTTGATAAAATAGTAAAGAGTAGAGACATCAGACTGGCAACAAAGATCTGCCTAGAATCAAAGCAATGGTATTCCCTGTAGTAACCTACGGATGTGAGAGCTGGACCTTAGGGAAGGCTGAGCGAAGGAAGATCGATGCTTTTGAGCTGTGGTGTTGGAGGAAAGTTCTGAGAGTGCCTTGGACTGCGAGAAGATCCAACCAGTCCATCCTCCAGGAAATAAAGCCCGAATGCTCAATGGAGGGAAGGATACTAGAGACAAAGTTGAAGTACTTTGGCCACATCATGAGGAGACAGCAAAGCCTGGAGAAGACAATCATGCTGGGGAAGGTGGAAGGTAAAAGGAAGAGGGGCCGACCAAGGGCAAGATGGATGGATGGCATCCTTGAAGTGGCTGGACTGACCTTGAAGGAGCTGGGGGTGGTGACGGCCGACAGGGAGCTCTGGCGTGGGCTGGTCCATGAGGTCACGAAGAGTCGGAGATGACTGAACGAATGAACAACAACATATCAATATAGTAATATATAATACTGATATTCTACTATGCTAATAATATAATACATTGTATGTATATATATCTTGTAAGCTGCTCTGAGTTCCCTTCGGGGTGAGAAGGGCAGCGTATAAATGTTGTAAATAAATAATTTTTTTTAACTCTCCGGGCAAACTTGTTTCGTTAATATATATGATCTAGAGACTTAGATCAGATTCTCGCAGCCTGAAACAAAATCAAGGATATATAACATTCTTAATTCTAAAACAACAAAAACAAGGCTCATGTTTTTCAATTTAATTTTTCAATGAACCAATTAAAAACTTTCCTATTTAGACAGGCGTTTAGTGAAGGAAACTAAATCTGGAGTGATAAGAAACACCATAATGTTTATGAAAGGGAACAAAGTGCAATATGATTTGACATGAGGCCACAAGAATGTGAATATATATTATTGTTGTCTTAAATTTTTATTTTGTGATTTATTTATCATATCAGGAGCGAACCAATGTATTTGAGAAAACTCAGAGTTTAAAAACTTGGCATTATACTAAATGTCCTTTGACATAATGGGAGTGCCTCTGGTGTTGCTGTAAGGAGGTCCTCCATTGTGCATGTGGCAGGGTTTGGGTTGCATTGTAGGAGGTGGTCTATGGTTTGCTCTTCACACTCACATGTTGTGGACTCCACTTTGTGGCCCCATTACTAAAGGTTGGCTCTACATCTCGTGGTGCCAGAGCGCAGTCTGTTCAGCGCCTTCCAAGTCGCCCAGTTTTCTGTCTGCGCAGAGAGGAGTCTCTCATTTGGTATCAGCCATTGATTGAGGTTCTGGGTTTGAGCCTGCCGCTTTTGGACTCTCGCTTGCTGAGGTGTTCCAGCGAGTGTCTCTGTAGATCTTAGAAAACTATTTCCTGATTTAAGATGTTAGCATGCTGGCTGATATCCAAATAGGATGGGCCGGAGATATCACTGCCTTGGTCCTTGCACTATTGGTTGCTACTTCCTGGCGGATGTCAGGTGGTGCAATACCGGCTAGACAGTATAACTTCTCCAGTGGTGTAGGGTGCAGACATCCTGTGATAATGCAACATGTCTCATTAAGAGTCACATCCACTGTTTTAACGTGGTGAGATATGTTCCACACTGGGCATGCATACTCAGCAGCAGAGTAGCAAAGCGCAAGGGCAGATGATGTTTTATACTTATTATTGATGCATTTGGATTCTTGTTTACATTATTTTAATATGTTGTAAGACACTTTGGGTCATGTGAGGGAGAAAAGCAGGATATAAATAAAGGTTTATGTGCCAGGAGCAGGGAAATCGCCAGTAAAAGCTAGCCAGAGATATTATAAATAAATAATAAAATAACAATTTAACAATTTAAGATAATAATATATATTTACAGTCTTGTGGCATCATGTTAGATCATATTGCACTTTGTTCCTGTCTATTTGAATCTCTCTCAAAAGGACATTGTGTGAGTCAATGCAACTGTTCTCATCACTGTATAGATGTTGCTCTGCATTAAAGGAATAAACTTCTTGTTCTTTATTCATCATCTGCGTGGTATATTTTCTTTCTCTGGCAAGACAGTGTGTGGACTGGTAAAACGTGAAGTATGTGTGATTTTCATCCCACCACAGCCCAAGCCACTGTTGGCCTGGTTCGGCAATGTGGAAGAGATGGAGCAAAGGCATGGAGAGACGAAAGAAGATGCAAAGAGGCAAAATATCAGGATAACTGATTTTATTAACAGTTTAAAACAATATAACTAATATTATGGGGGTTTGAAGAGTCTCCTGGGCACTGGTAGCTGCTGTTGGATACCTCCGGATCTTTGGACATTCACGTAATTTGTTACAAAGCCATGTTAACCTGAGGAACGCCCCGCTGCAATTCTAACTTTATTGATTTAATATTTTGACCAGCGGGAATATCCTGTGTTTGACATCAGATGGAATCTCTTTTCCTGTCATTTGAATCCATTGCTCCTTGTCGTAGTCGCTAGAGCTGCAGAAAACAGCTTGCCCCCTCCTCAATGTGACATCCTTTCAAATATTTACACATGGCTATCATATCTCCTCCCAGGTTTTTTTTTCTCTCCAAGACAAACATACCCCACTCCCTAAGCCACTCCTCAAAGGGAATCATGGATCTTTTGGTTGCTCTTCTCTAGACATGTTCCAACTTTTCAACATGCTTCTTGAATTGCGGTGCCCAGAACTGGAAACAGGGTTATTCCAGGTGAGGTCTGATCAAAGCAGGATAGAATATTTCCTTTGATCTAGACACTATAGTCCTATTGATGTACTTCAGAATCACATGCTGCATCACACTGTTCACTCATGTTCTGCTTCTGAATACTAAGGGCGCTTCCAGACATCCCTAAAATGCGGGACAGGGAACTGAGTTTTATAAACACAGGATCTGAGAAGCAGTTCAGACAGAGAGAGCTGAATCCCAGTATATCATCCTCCGCTGTCTACACAGCTAACTTTTAATCCGGATTAAGATGGAGGACGGATGGGAGACATCTGGCATAAGTTTTTAAAACAAACTCAGTCTGGAGATGCGCATACGAGATCCAGCACATAATGGAGTGAATTTTTTTTAGACGCTTCCCTCGCATCTGTTTCCCCCCAATTCTTAAGTCAAGGTCTCTGAGATTACAAAGTGTAAAAGATAGAATTTGTATTTCTTTGTCTCTTCTGCTTCTCTGAGCCACGTGTATCTGCATTTAACAGCCGATCAGCTGTTTCGGGTCTGACAGACATGCACGTGCTCGGGAAGAGTCCAGGTAGCAGGGAGGGAAGGAAAGCATGTGTTTTCCACGCCTGCAGGAATACACAGGGATGGAAAAGTACTTTTTTTTAAGGAGGAATCAGGGTTAAAGGCAGCCTTTTAAAACTGTTTTCCATCCCTTAATCCAATTCCTCCTGATTTCTCCTACATTTGTCTAAATATCGTTTATCCCCCTGCCAACTTGATTTAACCTGGGATATAATGCATGTGTAGAAGGGCCCTAAGACTCCAAAATCCTTTTCACATGTCCTGTTTTCCAACCAGATGTCACTCATCTATAGATGTGTATTTCGTTTTCATTGTACCATACATTTCTCCCAGTTGAAATCCGTTCTATTTGTTTTGTCCCAGCTCCTTGGATGTTTTCTCTACTATATGCACTCTCTGGTGGTTAAAATAGTATGGACCTTTGTTAAAGCATGTAAAAATTAGTTGGTGTGTGTGTAAACTGAAAATGTAAAGCATGAAGCTGATTGGTTGAGCCACGTCCGAGTGGCCAGCTGAGCCTGGGAGTTTTGGCAACAGTTTTTAGGCTGTTAACTGTGCAGCTACTCACAGAGAGACAGAATTTTGCTTCTGAGCTGCTGGAAGAGGGTCTTCCACATGGACACCTAAAGACTATTTGAATCTCTCTTAAAGGGCATTGTGTGAATACATTGAACTGTTCATATGTTGCTCTGCATTTTAAATAGCAAACTTTCTGT